ATGTATATGCAGTTCGATAATCGTGTGTTTTTTTCGAAAGCTAATTAGCCCCAAATTCTGTTTCTCGTCAAAGCTATTGTAACCGACAAGTACCAAAAATGACTATGAAAAATTAATTTTATTATTTGCAGCACCCCCACACGTATAGTGGTTAGTGATACTCACTGTTTTGCGGAAAGGGAGCACGCAAAATACACGGAGAATCGAAAGTCCTCTCGGTAGGAGATGGTCGGGGAAGAGGGTTGGGAAATTCTCCGACTGCGCGCCGAAATGTTCTCCCTCAAAACTGACGCGAATCTGCGCAGTTAGTGCCATAGGACTACACCTGTACATTTTATGGTGAAACTCTTATTTCTCGCCCACTTATACTTATACCCCTTATTAGCAGTTTAGTTACTAATTTACTGACTAAACGGAAGTTAAGCTGAACAAGCATGTTTCTAATAATATTCATCTATTAAAAATATTCATGGAAAAGTTATATATATATAAAGTAGTACTACATCTCGCTCGCAATACTTGAACTTGATTGTTAGAGTGAGATAGCATATGCGTTATAGAAGAAATATATTCATCAATTAAGTGGTGTCACACACGACTTCGTAACTAGTGTTGTAGTTCAAATGTAGTTAAAGCATCTTTTGACCATTATTCACAATGTTGCAGTTTGAGTAAAAAAGCTTTGTTTTTTTTTAAAAAATCAGAAATCGTTCCTCTTTGTCAGAACTCTTATCCACCTAACTACATTGTTTTCTCTTATAAACATGAATCTATGGAGCCAACATTTTTCAAGCTAATCAAGCCATCCAAACAAACAGACGGCTAGTTTTTAAAAGATGAAGAATCTGTGCAAGAATTCGTCGCACCGTGGAAACATGGTAACACTTAGATCTACAAAAAGCTGAATACACCGTCTTTTATGGCCTCCAGCACGAAAGGTTAAAACTTGTAAACTGCACGGAATAGAAGTCGTGAATACCTCCCAAAATACTGGCTTTAAGCTAATTTTGTTGCGTAATTTTTTTAATGAGTAAAATAGAAATTTTCATTATAAATACATTTTACTTGAGATAACTTATTAGTTTTTTTTAGATACGTTATTTTATTTCCCAGTGTATTACTTTCTTTCAGATTTTCTCAACGGTAATGAGATACATTCCGCAAGAGAAGAAGAGAAAGACTCACCTTTATTGTTTACTTGAGCTATACATAAGTCACATGATTTCTGAGGTCATCAGAATGTATCTTATTGCATTACTTCTATTATGTTACTCTTTATTTCAAATGTATACTGACAGCACTGATGCTTGTTCAAATATTTAGTGTTTCATTTCAATCTAGCTGTCAGACCGAAGGTGACAACGCTGACTAGCGCTTAGTAATAATAATGATAATAGCACTGCTGTACTGCAATAAAAATGCCCAAAAACTATTGTGTTCTTTAAATTCAAACAACGAGAACATGAAACCAAATTTATACCAAAACTTCAGGTAGGAGATAAAAGAAATTAAAGCAAAGAAAAAAGTAAAAAGATATTTACTCTCACGCTTGATGTCCACGTTATCACCGATAGACCGTTGTATGTTTGCTCATATGTCATATAGTGAGTGCTGGCACGATGTTGGACGCTTTGAAGCACGACCGTCAATCAAAGATGTGGCTCTTTTCTTTGGATGATTCGGTAATTTATTGAATGTGGGAATAGTTCAAAAAAGTCAAGCAGCTGTCCGAAGACCTCTGCCCAATCGACCAAGGATTGTTACCACTCCTGAAGATTGGTAAATTTTTATATTAGCCAAATGGAAACGAGAACGACCTCCACAACTGTTATATTCAACAAGGAGAGAATCATGGAGAAAGACTCATCATGGACTAAGACTTCGCTTTGGCGTTTTTTGGACGACACGAAAGATCCTTTTCAATAAATTTTACACAACATCCTTGTACTTATTAAAATTCATTGTTGATCTTTCTGGATAGCATCTTCTTCAATGTTTTCGCCATTACAAGAAGCCGCAATCCTACCACTTCGAGTAACGTCAGTGAAATTTAGTGGATTCTGAAAGCGCTTAAATCTTTCATAAATGCACTTAAAATGCATCATCTTCGCAAACTTGTTTCGTCATGTCATGAATTCATTTTAGAGATTTAATAAGCTTAAAATAAGACTTTGGTGTAGCTTTTATATATTTCGTCATTCGCATACACATCCTACATCATACACCAAACTTTATTACCATATCTTGTATACAAGCATTCTTTGCATTAGTAAAGGCGTTAATAAGTATATGTAAAGTTCTAGCCTGTTACTAAAAGTAACTTGTGAGTAGACCTAAATAAAATTATAAGCGACTTATGCCTATGTCTTGAAAAGTATTACATAGACTTGGGAAAGGGGTAAAAGACTTTTTTATTTAAGACTCAATTAACTGAACAGAAGGCACACCTAGTGCTTACATACCCCCCAGCAATTATCGCAAGAACCAAAGTAGAATTTAAAATTTAAAAGTAAATCTAAGTATCAGATAGCCAAAGGCTGCGCAGAGTAAATTAACCGCGAAAGTTGGGTTTTAAACTTACACCTATGTAAAAGCACTATCGGCAAGAATAAAGCAGCGCCGAAGACAGGATCTCGTATCTTAGAGTAGCAAACTAGTAGCATGGCCTTCCGACAGGCAGAATACACTCTTTCTGAGCAATCTCACACCCTCCGTCAAGTACACGAACTAAATTTAGATTTTGCGGGAAAACGGAAAGGGAGAAATGACAATACAGATCTGCCAACATAAAATAACTGGTCAAACAAATTCAAATAAACCTTACACATATTTTAAATAATTGGGAACTAGTCTATATTCGAATTTATCATCAGATTCGCTAAAGGTGGGCTAGGTTGGATTACGACAAAGCTTACTGAGTCTGTTTGCCTAAGAAAAGGAATGACTTCGTGGACAGCTTTCTAAGGAAATTTGTAGGTATTTAGGTTAGATATGAGGAAAATCGCGAAAAATCCCACAACAGCCAATCCCCTCAACCGGCAACTGGTGTCGAGAATAGCCTCCAAGGGAAAACACAAACGAAAAGAATAGATATTTTTCTTTTCACCAGATGGCATGCGGCACGAAATGTTATGTTTATGTCATTAAAATTTTCAATAGTTTAAAATTCAAAAAGAGATGTAAGACGTCGGCTGTAATTCTTTTTCTATCATCTGTTTAAGTTAGATATGGAGTGTTTTGCAGCTACGTTTTTTTCGTGTCCGACATGTAAGAATTATCAGAGCTTAAACTGCACCGGATCCCGGCTTCGGTACTTCTTAGTTTTTGGGATAAATCATAATTCTAGTCGGAGCGCACCGGAACCCTGAATCAAAAGGATCCGGCGCTTCTTTTTGTAACTGAACAACAATTTCAGTAGAAATTTGATGTCGAAAATTTTATTTTTTGCAAAAAAATTATATTACAAATCGCTTATTAAATTTTAATTTATCTCTTTACATTTTATTTAATTTTAATTTAATTATTTAATTACGTTTATCTTTAATTATTTAACTGTTTTAATAATAATAATGAATTATATTTAATTAAATAATAATTGGCATATACTAATTATTAACATTAATTAAATTCGTAATAATTAACTATTTAATTTTTAAATTATTAATGGTTTTAATAGCCATTTTATTTATATATTTACTTTTGTTCCTTTTCCGCGAACGGGCTGGCTGCATGCACGTTTTCGTGGTTTTTCCCATGTGACACATGTATACCAGCCAGTTTCCCTAGAAAGTTCTCCATGAAGGCATCCCTTCTGTTAGGCAGATAGCCCTCAAAACTTTACCATAATCTCATAAAATAAACCAAACACAATAATTAAACCTGGTGGAACTACTACTGTTAAACTATTTCCGGTCAGTCATTGATGGATTCGCTGAATGTGAATACGGGAAATCTCTTATTTGTATTCGAAAATCAGAGAACAGTCATACTTATTATCTGCTAAATTTTTGGATGCAAAAGGAAAAATAAATAAAAGAAGCCCATAAAAAAAATCTTGAAATTTATCAACAAATTTGCATTTTTTGATACTTAAAAATCTGATTTGATTTGAATTTTTTAGCATAAAATTGCCCCATGCTTTAAGATTATTCCAAGCAAAATTTTCGTTTTCATAATTGAAGATTACTGTATCCGAATTTCTTAAAATGGCAGTGGCTTAAATCAAGATATTAACATTTTTTTTAAATATTATTTCAATCTCAGTGCAGTTCTGTTTTTCTTTTTTATATGATAATCTGAGTTTCTTGTTCAGAGAAATTAATTGGGTTTAGAAGTGATACTTTAGTAGCAGGTATAATTACATTAAAAACTTCTGTAAAAGTATGTTTAAGATTAAACTGACTTGAAATAAATTTATTATTTAGAATGCAGGAAAATATCCTGTGGGTTTAATTTTTTCATGAAGGAAATTATAAAGGGGGGGGGAAATATTATCACTTTGGCTTCTGAAGTACATGTAGTACATTACGGCATGATTAACAATTTTTTTGCTGTTTCAAAATGTGAAATTTTGAGATATGAGAGTGTGTGTGAAAATGTATTAGGTATATTCCTGCTAAATTTGTACTAACAGTTATTTAAAATACAGATATTCTGGATTGCTAAGTATCCAAGCAAATGCAGTCTGAGCATTGTCAGAATTAAATATAATATTTATGTTTCTCATTTGTCAGTGAAAATGCAATCTTTTTAAAACTTTGACTACTGGTTGAAATTGTCGTTTTTCGTAATAAGATTCTTTGATTTGGTAGTACGCTTTGAACTCGAAGCTGTCACTTTTCATAAGCTGTCACTTTTCAAATATATTTCTTACTTGAATGTTTTTTTTTTTTTTTTTTTTCGGAAGGAACAAAGGTTATGTACTTAACAGTATAAAAAGATAATTCTTGAATTAGCTTTTCAAACCAAAGACTTGAGTTTATGTTAAATGAAACATGAAATAGAGCTACAATTGCTAGACTTTATTGCTTAAAGACTACTTGACATAATACCACAGTTTCTCAATAATTTCACAAACTACAGATGACGAAAAACATTGAACGCTGAAATAGTAATAAATAAATTTATAATGTTTTAAATTAATTTAATATTTTTAGTATGGGGCGTAACTTCCACTTCGCACTGCTTCTAACTTAGATGGGGCTGGAGCGGAGTAAACTGGAGCGCTGTACTGGGGTGCTGCGGGCTGATAGACTGGAGCAGGTGCGGCTGGCTGATAGACTGCAGCAGGTGCAGCAGGCTGATAGACAGGTCCTGAGGCATAGATTGCTGGGGCTGGTTTGTAAGCGGGAGCCGGTCTGCTATAAGCTGGAGCAGCAACTGGAGCTCTGGCATAAGCAGGTGCAGACACAGCTTTACCGTAGGCTGGAGCTGAATCGTACTTGACAGGGGCAGCTTCGGACTGGATTTCAACATCAGCGGGGTTCTGGTTTTCAGTGCCTGGTTCGTTGGTCTTGATAGCAGCTCGGAAACCTTTGTCATCAGCAACATAGTCAACTTGGCGGTAGATTCCATAGGCATCGACGTAACCGTAAGATCCCCTCTTGTTGCCGTAGTCATCACCTTCTTCTTTGCGGGTTAGTGTGGTGCCGTAGTCATCCTTCACATCATAACCAAAGCTATACGGTTGAGGTTTTTCTTCCTGGAGGGGGGAAGAGAATGAATGTTAAGCCCCTTGTTACTCGAAAAAAGCAGTGAGATACGTTTGGAAATGTTCGAATAGTGCAAATCGATTGCATAAACAGTGAAAATCATGCAAGACAGTGCAAATCGATTTACTTTTAAAAACTTCTTCAGGTTACATTGAACTAGTTACGCGCAATAAATTGATATAAATAGACAGTTTTCTCTTCGTATAATTTGAGCTATTCTAGGCATTAAATTTATTTCATCTGTAATTCATCAAAACTTTAAATTGTTCCTTATTTTTTTGTTTAATAAAATAAAGAAAATTAGAAAAAAATTAATACTGAAATTTTCATATACATTTCTTGATTTTATTCTCTCTTATTCAAAGGATTCTTTTTTTTTATCCAGCTATTCATTATTAGCATAATTATGTAACTTTATGCAATGAAGAATTTTATTATTATTATCAAATTTTCTCTTCATTTATTTGATTCAATGAAAGAAAATAAAAAGTTCTTGGAATTAATAAGAAGACTTGCTACGTTTTAAAAATTTTTAAATACCTTTTCAGCTTAACTGAAAGGGCGATTATTAAATTAAATTCTTTTTGATTTCTTTCCCTACAGATCTTAAATATTTAAGACGGAATAAAGAATTTAAAAATGAAGATAAGTAAAATAAAATTCTTTGCTTCTTTTTAATGTGATGAAATGGGTACATTAATAAAATTCATTTCAGGAAGATCCCCCCCCCTTAGAACTAGCTTTACTTTCAGATTATCAAACTGCATAGTACATCGTTCAACGGAATTTAAATTCGTAGACCGCGTTTTTAGACCGAGTCTTGGTATCTCATTGATACGCATAACAGAAACATATACATGAGATTTCTAAAGATAAACAACGAAAAAGAATTTCCAGTTAGCACTTAAAAACATATTTTATGAACTCCTGTTTTTTCACTTAAGGCTTCCCCCCCTTTTTTTTTAAACTTTTGATTATTTGTATTCTTATTATTTATTGTGAAAAATGCTTAAAATAAAATAAGTGTTCTTATTCGCGAGTTAGTTTGCACTTTATAATGTTAGAAAAATGTTTTAGAACAAGAAGCAAATTTGGAATCTTTTAAACAAGCCAAATTAGTGTTCTAAAACTTTCCTAACGTTTGAAATATACCTAAACAATGAAAGTAAATCTTTGGGAATATCCAATTTCACGTGGACGTATGCATTACGAAAAGAATACAAAAATACAAATGCTTTCTTTAATACTTACGTAAGCTGCTCCATAGGGCTTAGCATAAACAGGAACATCGTACTTGGGACCATACTGGGCTGCGGCCAGGGAGACAAGACAAAAAAGAGCTACCTGTACCAAAATAAACCAAAACAATAAATGAATGAAGAAACATAATAAATAGATTAAACATAGCTAATAAACTAAAGAATAAAGTAAGCAAAATATATCAATTAAATTAAATTTTAATGAGTGACATAATTGCGTCCTTTTCAACAAGCTTTAGTTTCAGTAACCAGCAACTTAGTCTTACTAACAAGTAAACCTTCTCTCCTTTGATACCGGTTTTCCGGAAGCCCATATATTTTCTGAAAGTTTATGTCACAAGGAGAAAAACTGTAAAGTCTTAGGGGCAGAGGGACAAGCGTTTAGGAGCTGTAGGACCCACAAAGTATCATTAAAATGTGCATAGATGAGATATTTCCCTGATGTCTCCTATTTCTTGTATGCTATTGCATTGTCTGCTTCCAAAGTACCTGGTGGTAAAGTCATACAAAAGGAACTGGTGCCCATTGTGAACTGTCTTTCTGTCCGTCTCACGGTTTATTTGACGAATTGCACATTGATTGTCTCTTGTAATAGATTTTGTTTGAAGTCATTAATAACCATTTTCAACAGCGTAGCGTATATTGCTTCTTTCCAACGTGCTGCTTCTTCCGTTATATTAAGATCTGCACCTTATTACCATATTATTAGTTCATATAAATACGTGAAGCGAGAATTTTAGCGACTTTTTGTGTCATGTTTACAACACTTTACTGATACTTTGTAGGTTCTATAGCTCCTAAACGCTTTCCCTCTGCCCCTAAGACTTTAAAGTTTTTCTACTTGTGACATAAGTTTTCAGAAAATATATTGGTTTCCGAAAAACCGGTATCAAAGGAGAGAAGGGTTTACTTGTAAGAAAGTACACTAACGGCTGGTGGATAAGGCATCTTAACACTAGTAGTTCTATCTGGGATTGGTTCTTGACGATTGCAAATATTGACTGAATTGGATTAGGTTATTTGATTATGGCAAAACACATTATAGATGAGATGCCTTTGGGAAGCACTTTCAAAAGTAATCGGCTCGCATTCAAATTACATGAGGGGAAACCACAAAACCACTCAAGCAACCGGCTCGTTTTCCGGTATTCGAATCTATATCGAACTATTAGTATTCACCAGTTTTATTCATTCGGTCGCTGCTGAAAGAACCAAGGACTATCTGAAAGAAGATTTTGTGTATTTGTTCCTGTGAATGGTGTATACTAAGCAGTTTTCTTTCGAAATTGCTTCACTTTTAAAGTAGGTAATTCTCGGATGTTTTCCTAAGATATGTAACCAACCTTATTAAATAATGTTTTAAATACGTCGCTTTTAAACATAATAAAGTAAAAGGCAATCTTCTGGTAAATATTTGATAAGCAGCTTAATAGTAGAAAAACATGGTAAAAGCAATACAAAATTTTTATGAGCAACTAAATAATTGTAAGTTTAAAAATGTATTTGACCAACTTAAAAACTACAAGAGAGAATGTTATAGCCATTTTCAACAGAAACTGTTAAGAGAACATGGCAAGTATTTACTTTTAACATAAAAAATTTCATTTATAAACAATTGTGTTAATAAAATTTAATTACTGAAGTTTATCGCAAAACTGCTTTCCCTAAATATTTCTTTTGTAACATTAATAGATTTTGGTTTTCTTTGGTAGCATAAACTAGCATCAAACTCCTAACAGACTTGGAGTGAATTATCCCTCGGTACGAAGTAACAACTGAGTCTTAAAAAGGTATAAAACAACCTTTTCATTAAATCAGAGAGTGAATATAAAATCCACGTCTCTTGTTTACCACCACTTGTGGCGATGTAGCTTCAAATAACAATAAATTCAAATTTTAATCTAAGTCTAGTAGTTAAAGGCTACACATTGGATTTAAGGCGAAGTTGGCCCAAAACTTCTCAGTGGCGAAACAATTTTAATAACAACAAGTACTAACTGATAGCTGAAGAACAGCAGTCTTGTCGGAGCTGGCGAAACCTAGTAACGTTGCCTCGAGAGGTAGACACATGCTTTCTCTTACAATCCAAACACTTCGACTTAGATATTCGCTAACTAAATTTGCATTCTGGTAGGGAAACGGAAAGGAGAAGTGACAGTAAGGAACTAAATTATAAAATAAATGGTTATGCAAAATAATAGTAATCTTACAACCTTTCCACACTAATGTTTAATTCATTGTACATCCATTTTGAGACTTTTCTTCTTTTTTGCCTAAGGTAAATGCCTCACTCGGGACGCTGCACGTTCAATTCTGCGTTTAAATACATTTGTCTTATATCTTTATTGTATTTAAGATATAGAAACACATGACGAAGATATGGACTGGATTATTTGCTCATAGCAAAGCTCACTAGAGTTATCCGCCTAAAGGCAGGAACACTTTGTGGAGGACCTTCAAAGGTAAATTAAATCGTTTTTATCTTGGAAAAATTATAATAAAGCTCATATAGACTTTTCCTCCTCTCGGGAGAGGAAGCCGTGTCGAACTACTAATATTCTGTAACTTATTCATTGCGTCACTATTCGGCAAGTATTTAAGATATGGAAACATTTCAGTTTTGAAGTGTATTTCTAAACAAGGCTGTGGTTATTTATTCGAATTTCAGACAATGCACAAGATATTCAGATTCAAAGAAGTTCTTTAATACCAACAAAAAGATATTTTAGATTTTAAAAGTGACAAACTTTTTTAATAGCTAAAGTTTTAAAAATATTTTAGATTCATTAAAAATATAACTTTTTGGAAGATATAATAGAAACGGTGCTATTTAAAATGTTATAAGTAATTATTATGATCAAGATTTCCGAACAAATTGAATGTATTTAGTGAAATTTTTATGCTTTTAATTAAAACATTAAATAAAATTTAGAATTTGATACCCTAAATGTAAGAGAATACTAAATTACTAAACATAAAACAAAAACCTACAAATTATAAAGGCATATAAATTAATAAAATTAAAAAGACTTAAATTAATGAAATATTATATTGTTTCCACAAAAATGTTTCATAAAGGCATAGAAGTAAGGAAAAATACTCAGTATTTCTTTACTAAAAATCTAATATTATAGGTGCAAGCTAGAATTTATAGAAATGTATATTTCAGTTAAGTTTTTAATTTTACGTATTTTAAAGCATGTGAGAATATGAAAGGTGAAGGATGCTTTCATGGAAGATTTTTAAGAGAAAGCATCTTGTATTCAAGTCACACTACTAGGTTTTACAAATCTCTTACGTTAAATGAGGATAAATCTCATTATTTTAAAGAATAAATTATCTATTTTAAAAAAAAGTTTGGAACTCATGCAGAAAAGAAAATAAAAAACCTAAAATTCTGGCCAAGAGAAACTGAAAAAATTAGTAAATATTAAAACGGCATTAAAACGCATAAATACATTTAAAGTAATATCCTATTTTTTCCTTAAATATGAGGGACAATTAATATGGGAAGAAATCTGAGGAGGTTTCAGTTAAGATGCAGTTTCAGTTCAAAAAATTGCGTAAAACTTTATTGTAACTGCCTGTAAAATTCAAAGCCTTCAAAGCAAAATTTTAACTGAAAGTTATAATTAAATAATTAAAAAATTGTGGTTATAATTTGGATTAATGCATGTAATTTTTATTTAACACTGTAGTGAAATTTTCAGGGTAATTGTTTTCCAAAATAATCGAAATTTTGTAACAAAATCATTGAATTTTTGAATAAAGTAATAAAAATCTTAAAACCAAAGAAATCAAAATTTAAAAACAACACCAACAAAAAGTTTATAGTTTTAATATGTTAAGCGCAAAATAAAGTACGCTTTTAAAAAAATAGAGCATTCTTTTTCAAAGTTAAGTTTTAACAAGAATTTAAGAAAAAAAGTTGGCATCACTGAAAAAATTGATTTATGTTAATAGGAATTTTCTCATTCGTCAAAATTAAAAAGTATTCCATAAATAATTCTTACCTTTACGAACATGTTGGCAACGGAAATTTACTGAAGTTGCTTATAAAAGCTGCAGTTGGATTGTTGGATTAGAGAGATCTTTTCGAATCGAAGACCGAACTCAGATTGATGTCCGAAAAGTGATTTGGGGATGCTTAAGTACTCGAGGTTTGGCCCAATTTTAGCGGGGCGTCATGGCCTAATCAGGCTGTCCTGCCCTGAAGGCTGGGCTGAAAGAGAAAGTTAATATGTGACATACTTTGGAAGAAACCGCTTAACCGAAACTGAACAGCAGGGACCAGACCGCGCAGGGTGTGTAATGGTTTAATCTCCAATCGCAAGTTTTGATTTTTTCTTTTGAATTATACTTAGTTACTATTGTTCTAAATCTAGTTAGGAATTTTTTGTACTTCTTCTTCACCTTGGCATTAGACGGAACGCCCTTGAGAGTAGAAATGTCACTTTCTCTTTTACTACGTAAATGATTGATGTTTCGTAATTACGGAAGGTATATTGGTTTTAATAGTTCAACCATTGCTGCAAGTTCTGGAATAGCTTGCGTCAGTGTGAGGAATATGTTAATTGTCATGACCCGCCAAGGACTCGTTTGATGGAATGCCGGGTTAAACTTTGATTGATTTTAATTTTTTAATAAATTTATCTGATGCAATTCATGAATGTTACTGAATCAGCTTTGTAATTAAAGCAATCAATGTCTTCTTTTCATTACAAAGGCATTGTCTTTAGATATGAAGTAAGGTTTTAACAAAATATAAAAAATTAAAAAAATCTGAAAGTTTTCAGATTTTATATTACTTTTAAAGGGACTTTTTTTAAAACGTTTTCAGTGTTACCGTTATTTATTAAATATCATGCTCTTCGCACTTAAAATTCAATTCAACAGAAATATCACAAAATAATTAAAAAAAAAAAAAAAACTTATCTCTAGAATTTCTGATACACAGTCTCCCGCTCTGCAGATAAAAATGTAAAAATGTCTTCTTTTTTTTCGTACAGTGTTGCCATTCCTCGCTTTGAAATCGTTGAGATTGTTAATTAAAAATTCGTTAAAGTTTTACAAAATATGAAATAGATAATAAAAAAATTTCCAAATTCCAAATTTGGGCTTTCAGATGCCCATATTCGGGTGGAGGATTACGTTATTCAAAATTTGATGGCTCTAGATGCCGTTGTTTTATCAAAATGTGAGAACATACATACATTTATGCAGATTCTTCATTATTAAATTTCTTTAAATATAATACAGGGCTGTAACATTTGGTGGCAACAATTTGAAAAGTGATTCAACGCATTTAAGGTTTCAACGCAAAATGCCGAAACGAAATTAATAGACCTTCTGGGCAAAATTGCCCCCTTGGGCTAATAGTTCATATTATGTTACATTTTTGAAAGACATTTTTTTGAAAGACAGAGGAAAAACAGTGACATGAAGTTCCGCAAATTTCGAGCAGAATTTTAGGCCTGCCAAACATACGTACCTAGAAGCCTGAATTTTTTTTTTTTATTTTTCGCATTTTATATGAATTTAATGATTTTTTGATTAATAAACTCAGCGATTTAAGAGCAAATTATTACCACTGCTCAGAAACAGTTTTACATTCCTTCTACGCATGTGTTGGCGTTCAACTAAGTGTGAGATACTTACTTTTAAAATTTAATCAACTAACTCGGCTATATTAAAAAAAAAAAAATGTTTGTTATTGCAGACAGAAATAAAATACTTTTATCTTACACACTCCAATATGCTGTCATTCGGCAAAACGTGAGATATTTAACTTTCAGATTCAATCTGTCAGTTTCCGATTAAGAAACTAAATGCTTTACAACAGCCATAAACGCAGCGTTAATAATATTTTTTAAACTTTTTAATTTGATTGTTTTCAATAAAAATTAATTTCATTTATAATATATTTAATTATGAAATTAAATATTTTTGTATGCAAAATTGTAAAAATATTTTCAATTGCAAGAAATATTTATTGCAAGCCTCGTGCACAAGTGATCTAGTGAAATAAAAGCAGAGTTACGTTTATGAAAAAAAAGTGTTTTTTTTATTAATTAAATTCAGAAATCACTAAGTGGTCTTAATTTAAGATTAGACAACATTATAAATTTTTTTTTCTATCCCTTCACTTTGCTTTGCCATTTTGAAAAGCTCACTGTAAGTACAAGAATTCATGTCCTGTAGCTTAATTTCTTTGATAGTAAGTCTTAAATTCGTAGTCCTATCGTAATCGCTTGGCTTGAATTTCCTTCATGTGTTCAAGAAAAAACTACATACCGAGACCACATTGCAGTTTTTTTTTAAATAGTTTGAATTTTATATTTAAAATTTTTGTAAAGTATTTATCTGAACTTTTTGAAACTTTATTCGTAAATTCTTTATGGTGTTATACTGTAATCTGAAGTTGTCAGATTACAAATATTTCAGTCTTTACTATTAAAAAATGAAAAATCTGTTGAGCATGTGATTTCATAGCTCGGTGGGAAGACGCTAAACACTGAGCCGTCAAACTTTGAATACATATACTGCCCCCGAATATATGTATCCGGAAGTCCGAACTTAGAATTTCGATACTTTAATCATAAATATTTTTTATTTATTTCCCACAATTTGTTAATATTATTGCTCCGTGCGTACGGTTTCGTAATAAATTGAATGTACAAGTGAGATGAAAAGTGAATAAATTTATTCTTAACTCAACAAGTAGAAACAAAATGCTTAAGTTTCGTTAGAGATATTCGTACAATATCCCAATATCTCACAGTAGTTATCTTTTAAATTACTAAAACGTTCAACAAAACTTAATTCAAGGCAGAGAAAGCTAATCCGATTTCACCGCGAATTCGCTACAGTAAACAAGTTTTTTAAACAACTGAATTGAGATGTTTTCCTCCAGCATTTATAAGCTTTTTAATGACACACGAAAAATTTCTCGTATTTTCTCGATATTGAAAGAGTACAATTACGAGATATTTATTTATCGAAATGGTAAATGCGCGTGCTCCTGCATGTAAATTTTTCTGGCGTAGCTTTCTCTTCAAATAAGTCTCGTGCCGCATTGCACGGGAATATAAAACAATTTTAATAACAATTCTAATAAAAATTAGCAAATTAAATACAAAATCCGTAACATTATTTTAGTATGATTTAATACATAAAAGAATCTTATGGTTTAGGAATTAAACACAGAGAATGGAATAGGAGTCAGGTTTTTATTTTTTCTTCAGACATTTGTAGTTTTATTTATATTATTTTTGGTACGATTTTTTTTAACGTATATTGAAAGCACTGATGATAGCTCGAATATAAGTTATTTCAGTTTTTAATTAAGAACTCGATGCACACAACAGTCGTTCTGCAACAATCATATCATTTCCATGGTAAAATTCTTTTTTCTCTCTACCTATCCACTGAAAGTTAACGAATCTTTAATAAAGAACACCGAAAAGAATCAAGAAAAGAACTTAACGATGATACTGTAAGATATAAGAATGAACTGGGCGGACTAAATGAATAATGAAGAATTTTTTTACCCTTGTTCCAGCCAGCATAATGAATAAAATATATTTCTACACAACTTGATAAGTTGGCTGCAAAATTTCTGCTTCTAGTTTTTGTGAACTCTGTCGTTGGCACTGAAAATAGAATCCAATGGTAATCATAAAATTATTCATTAACATATTAACTGCAAGTTATTTTTTTCTTTTTATATGAAAATTTCATTCAAAAAATATTTTTTCAAACGGATTTTTTTATATATTCTATTCGTACCATTGTATTCTCGAAAACGAAATGCCTAAATAAAAGCTGAAATTTTCAAAAATTTTTTTAGACCTTAGTATTATGCAACAGTAACGTTTTATTTTATCAGTTTGCAATCAAAGGTATTATTTTTGTATAATTAATAGTTAAACCCTTTCTAAGATGTTAAAACAGAAATACAGGTATTGTTTGAAGCAAGGGCGGCATCTTTGCATTTCCGTAAGTACCGTATTTTTTAGAGTATAACCGGCGTACACTGAAGTGACAAAAGTCATGGGATACCTCCTAATATTTTGTCGGTCCTCCTTTTGTCCGGCGAAGTGCAGCAACTCGACGTGGCATGGACTCAACAAGTCGTTGGAAGTCCCCTGAAGGAATACTGGCCATGCTGCCTCTATAGACGTCCATAATTGTGAAAGTGTTGACGGTGCAGGGTTTTGACCACGAACTGACCTCTCGATGATGTCCCATAAATGTTCGATGGGATTCATGTCAGGCGATCTAGGTGGTCAGATCATTCGCTGGAATTGTCCAGAATTTTCTTCTAACCAATCGCGAACAATTGTGGCTCGGTGACATGACGCATTGTCATCCATAAAAATCCCATCGTTGTTTGAGTACGTGAAGTCCATGAATGGCTGTAAGTGATCTCCAAGTAGCTGAAGGTATCCATTTCCAGTCAATGATCGGTTCAGTCGCACCAGAGGACCGAGTCCATGCCATGTAAAAACAGCCCAGACCATTATGAAACCACCACCAGCTTGAACAGTGCCTTGTTGACAACTTGGGTCCATGGCTTCGTGGGGTCTGCGCCACACTCGAACCCTACCATCAGGTATTACCAACTGAAATCGTGACTCATCTGACCATGCCACGTTTTTTCATTCGTTTAGGGACCAACCGATATGCTCATGAGCCCACGAGAGTCGCTGCAGGCGATGTCGTGCTGTCAGTAAAGGCACTCGCGTCGGTCTTCTGCTGGCATAGCCCAAGGAAGACAAATTTCGCCGCACTGTCCTATCGGACACGCCCCTCGTACGTCCCACATTGATTTCTGCGGTTATTTGACGCAGTGTTGCTTGTCTGTGAACACTGACAACTCTACGCAGACGTCGCTGGTATCGGTCGTTAAGTGCAGGTGATCGGCCACTGCTCTGTCCATGGTGGGATGTTATGCCTGAAATTAGATACTCTCGGCACACTCTCGACACTGTGGATCTCGGAATGTTGAATTCCCTAACGATATCCGAAATGGAATGACCCATGCGTCTAGCTCCAACTACTATTCTGCGTTCAAAGTCTGTTAATTCTCGTCGTGCGGCCATAATCACGTCAAAGCCTCTTCACATGAATAACATGAATAACCTGCCAAAGCACTTCGCATTTAT